CTCTGTAAATCTTCACCCAAATCCTAATTAAAAAAAAAAAAAAAAAGTCAAGGAAAGGTTTAAAAAAAAAAAAGAGCAGTAATCTTTTTCAAAAATCCTGCACTGAATTGAGCTTTTATGTTTATAACTAATTCCTTATTACCAGAACTCACTGCCATCAGTCAATTCTGACTCAGAGCAACCCCTTGGGACTCTTAACCACTACACCTTAACCATGACACCACCAGAGCTCCTCACTCAGTGGTTAAAGCATTCGAGTACTAACCAAAAGGTCAGCACTTCAAACCTACCAGCCACTCTACAGAAGAAAGATGAGGCCATCTTCTTGAAAGCCTTATGGGGCAACTCTGTTCCCTCCTATGGGGTCACTATGATGAATTCCTGATTAGTTTCAAATAATTCCTATGTAAGTTCTTATCCAGGAGTTCTGATAGCATAGTGCCTAAGGCACTTGACTGCTAACCAGAAGGCTGGTGGTTCAAACCCACCAGCCACTCCTCAGAAGGAAGGTTGGGCAATCTATTTCCGTAGTGATACCGCCTCAGAAATCCAAGGAGGGGTCGCTATGAGTCGGGTCTGACTCAATGGCACATAACAACAACGACAACAAGTTCTCACCCAGAAGTCAAATAGGTTACTGTCTTGCCTGCACTTTGGAACAGTTAATTATTTCAGTGGTTGACTGATAAAAAAGGAGCCAGAGAATCTTTCTGGGAAAATAGCTCAGTTTAAACCCTATTTGAAAATCAGATCTTTGCTAGCTTCATAGCAGCCTGGGACATACTTCTCTGAAAAGAAAAACCAGTAACAGTGAAAACTGGGGGTCCTTGAAAACCCCAAGGAGTATTAGAGTCTCAAATGAGGAACTTACAAAAACAGAACATGAAATTATAACTTTATTTCTTAATCCAAATCTGAATACCCTGAACTCTGTGAATACCATACATTTCTCCAGAAGATAAATGCCCACCAAGGTTTCTGCGCCTACTTGTCACCATGTTTTTCTTGTTTATATTGGGCCTCACCCCATGTGACAGACTACAGAAAGGTGCATGGCCTGCCCGTCAGAAGACTGGCTCTTCCACAGGTCTGTGGCCTGAAGCAGATTTCTAAAGTGGTGACCACTAAGTCCTAAAATAACCACAACTATTGCTACTTACATAATTTGTGACCTTTTTTTCCCCCCGTAGGGCCATTTAAAATTCTATTATAAAATGCTTTGTTACTCTGGTTACATCACATTTTCTATAATGAATATTTCTGTATACTCAGTGTGTACTGTGGCACTTTTGGTGTTCACTGTGATACCCAGGATAAGATAAGAGCATCTGGAACAGTCGGGACTAACCTCCAGTTTGTTGCTCCACTCCTCACAGTCAAGTGCACAGCTGTGCAGCTCTGAGATAAATTGCAGCAGACACAAACACTTCAGCAAGCCTCCCCAAGACAACCCCTCCCTGTAAGCAAACCTGGATCTCCCCACCCACAAGATAAACGGGGCTTTGTGGGGAGGGAATTGCAGATGGTGTCTGATGCCTTCAAAGCCCTTCCCATTTGGCTGCTTCTAGACAACAGGCGTCTGCTGGATGCTGAGGGTTTCAGGTTTCTATATCCCGTTTCTGCTTACTCTTTTCTAGATATTCTGAGCACCAAACTTTTGTAAAAAAAAAAAAAAAAGGAATTGTCTTGTTTTATGGCCTTTTCTCCCAAGCCGCTTTGGGCTTTAAGTGTGGTCAGGCACTTAGTAATACTTTTAAAGATACTTAGGTTACTCAGAATACTAAGCATATGAAGTATTCTGCCCCTAGTTTAGTAGGACAAGGCAGTTGTAGCAGAATCTCTGCCTTTTAAAAATAAATATCTAACATCAAGATTGTTACTTTTGTTGGCCCAGCCTATAATTAGTTAATCTATACTCCAGCTCCTTAATCTACTCTCAGATCATGTTAATTCTAAATTGGGTTAGACAAGATAACAGAAGAGTGGCCAAATAGCTACAGGTAAGAGAAATGCAGTCTAAAGTTTCAAAGGAAAGAAATACATAGCAAATACATAAAAAGTGCCATATTATGCTAGGTATTAAATTTAGGAATTTATACTGCAAAGGAGGAGCTCTGGTAGCATAGTGGCTAAAGTGCTTGACTGCTAACCAGAAGGCTGGCGGTTCAAACCCAC